AAAAAAAAAAAAAAAATAAAATAAAATAAAATAAAATAAATGCTTTTATGTATGGATGAATGCATGCAGGTTCATCCCCATCATGGTCTCTATTGCTGCAGCAATGCCGGGGTTTGTTGCTGCCTTTGGGTGGTGGTTTGCTGCCTCGTTTTGGTGTGAGAGACAGCCGCAGCGGCTACTTTTATAGTGCAGCAGCAGATCTGTTTCTCGATGCTTCTTCTTTTTATTTTATGAATACACAAGGAGACTATTATATACACGACACAGCAGCAAAGGCACTGAGGAGAGTTTGTAACTATAGAGAAGCAAATAAAAACAGCAGCAGCAGCAGCAGCAGCAGCAGCAACAGCAGCAGCAGCAGCAGCAGCAAACAGCAGCAGCAGCCGACAGCGCAACTTGTTGCTTCGCTTGTTGCGTCTGCACAGAAAAGCGCACAGGCAACAAAAGATGCATTGGAAAAAGCAAAGACAGCAGCAGCTGCTGCTGCAGCAGCAGCAGCAGCAGATACACCGGCTGGAGCAGCAGCAGCAACAGCTGCTGCTACTGCTGCTGCTGCTGCACAGCAGCAGCAGCAAAATACACCTCCACCTCCGCCCATGCAGCCCCCGTTCAAAGGAAACTTTTCGGATGGGCCTTCGCTGCTGCAGCAGCAGCAGCAGCAGCAGCAGCAGCAGCAGCAGCAGCAGCAGCAAACACCGCGTGGGTTCGCAGCTGCTGCCCCAGGAGGGTTCAGTTTGTCTCGTGCTGCTGCCGTGTCTCCTGCTGATGGTCGCGATGAGCTCAGCAATGCTTTTTTGTCTCCTGCTGCTGCTGCTGCTGCTGCTTCGACAGCAGCAGCAGCAGCAGGAGCAGGAGCAGGAGCAGCAGGAGCAGGCACAGCAGCAGCAGCAGCAGCAGCAGCAGCAGCACCTGCGTCATCGAGTGTTATTGCTGATGTTGCTAGGGTCTTTGAACGCAATCTAGCAGCAGCAGCAGCAGCAGCAGCAGCAGCAGAAGATACACAAACCCTTACCTCTCCCCTCGCCCCTGATAGCCGCAGCACCGTGTCTCCCAGCAGCAGCAGCAGCAGCAGCAGCAGCAGCAGCGGTATGGGTCCAAGCCCATCATTCTCTTCGTCATCAGGAGCAGCAGCAGGAGCAGCAGCAGCAGCAGCAGCAGCAGGAGGAGGAGCAGCAGCAGCAGGAACCGAAGCAAGAAGATATTGTTTTATTTGTTTACGAATGTTTAAAACAAAAGAAGCAATGCATGAACACGAACTCAACTCAAAGCTACACCATAAAAATGTTTTACGTCTAGAAGACATAAAAAAAAAAGAAAACTTCATCTATCAGCAGCAGCTGCAGCAGATGCAGCTGCTTCGCTTACACCTCAGTTAATATAAATAAATAAATAATAAATAAATAAATGTTTATTTATTTATTTATTTTGTTTATTTTG